GCATATGAGTGAACGAGGGATGCAAGTTCTGTCGAAGAGGGATCTTCTTTGCGGGCACAAGGTGCAGAATTTGGAATTCTGTGAGCATTGTGTGTTTGGGAAGCTACATCGCAGCAAGTTTCCCAAGAAGGGTATCCACCGGACGAAGGGGATACTGGATTACCTCCACTCCGATTGTTGGGGTCCTTCACGAGTTGAATCCATTGGAGGCAGCAGGTATTTTCTGTCTATTATTGATGATTATTCGAGATTTACTTGGATTTTCATGATGAAGCAGAAAAGTGAGGCTTTCACGAAGTTCAAGCAGTGGAAGACATTGGTGGAAAATCAGACCGGTAAGAAGATCAAGAAGCTGCGAACGGACAATGGTCTGGAGTTCTGCAGTTCTGAGTTCAACGAATTCTGCAAGGATGAAGGGATTGCCCGTCATTGGACTGTTAGAGATACACCCCAGCAGAATGGCGTTGCAGAAAGGATGAACCAGACATTGTTGGAGAGAGCACGGTGCATGCTCTCTAATGCTGGACTAGAGAGAAGATTCTGGGCAGAAGCAGTGAACATGGCGTGCTTCCTGATCAACCGTGGACCTCACACAGGTATCGAGTGTAAGACTCCTTATGAAGTGTGGTATGGTAAGTCTGCTGATTACTCTTCACTGAAAGTGTTTGGGTGTCCTGTTTATTATCATGTGGATGAGGGTAAACTGAACCCAAGGGCAAAGAAGGGTGTATTTGTGGGTTACGGAGATGGAGTTAAGGGATTTCGAGTCTGGTCACCTTCTGAGCATCGAGCTATACTTAGTAGAAATGTGATATTTGATGAGAAGTCTATGTTTAACCCCATGTTGAAGGTTACTGTTGTTGAAGGTAGCAGGAATGTTGATAAGCAGGTGGAGCTGCAAACTCTCAATGAGAGTGAGTTTGAGCACCAAGGTGGAGAAGATCAACATGATGAGGATGTCTCTGCAGAGCCAGAAAGTTCAGAGTCCAGTGCACGAGCTCAACAATCTATGGCTTCCGGTAGACCGAAGAGAGCGACTGCAGGAGTACCTTCACAGAGGTATGGCTTCGAGGACATGGTGGCGTATTCATTTCAGGTTGCTGAGGAAGTGGATGCAGGAGAGCCACAGTCCTATAAAGAAGCAGTTTCGGGTGGTGAAGCTGATCAGTGGCTTGCCGCAATGGGAGATGAGATGGAATCCCATGACAGGAATCAGACTTGGGAGCTAGTCAAACGACCACAGGGAAGGAAGATTGTGACAAACAAGTGGATCTACAAGAAGAAGGAAGGAATCACTTCTAAAGAGGGCATGAAATTTAAAGCTCGGGTGGTTGCACGAGGCTTCTCGCAGAGGGAAGGAGTTGACTACAATGAGATTTTCTCACCAGTGGTTAGACATACTTCGATCAGAGTGCTACTAGCAATAGTGGCACATTATGACTTGGAGCTCGAGCAGCTAGACGTGAAGACAGCTTTCCTGCATGGAGAGTTGGAGGAAGAAATTTACATGACTCAGCCAGAAGGATTCGAGGTTCCTGGAAAAGAAGACTATGTTTGTAAGCTGAAGAAGTCCTTGTATGGACTTAAGCAATCTCCGAGGCAGTGGTACAAGAGATTTGACAGTTACATGCTTGAGCTGGGCTACAACAGAAGTCCATATGATTGTTGTGTATATCACAGCAAGGCAAAGGATGGTTCGATGATATATCTAGTTCTGTATGTGGATGATATGCTCATAGCTGCGAGGTCAAAGTCTGATGTCCAGAAGTTAAAGGGGCTTCTCAGTGCTGAGTTTGAGATGAAGGATTTGGGAGCTGCTCAGAAGATCTTGGGTATGGAGATTTACAGGGACAGGTCGAAGAAGAAGCTTTTCTTGTCACAGAAGAGCTACATCCAGAAGATATTGTCGAGGTTTGGCATGTCTTCAGCAAAGCCCTTAAATACTCCTAGTGCTTCAAATGTTCATCTATCCTCAGCTTATGCACCGCAGTCAGAGACTGAGAAGGAGTACATGTCGAGAGTCCCATATGCTAGTGCAGTAGGTAGCTTGATGTACGCTATGGTATGCACTAGACCTGATCTTGCACATGCTGTTAGTGTTGTCAGCAGGTTTATGATACAACCTGGGAAGGAGCATTGGCAGGCTGTGAAGAGGATCTTCCGGTACCTTAAGGGTACACCTGATGTGGGGATTAGCTTCGGAAGTGATACAGAGTGCTTGGTGTCTGGGTATTCTGACTCGGACTATGCTGGAGATGTTGACACGAGGAGATCGATGACCGGTTATGTATTCACTCTTGGGAGTTCTGTAGTGAGCTGGAAGGCAACTTTGCAGTCGGCGGTGACATTGTCTACTACTGAGGCAGAGTATATGGCGTTGACAGAAGCTGCTAAGGAGGGAATATGGTTGAAGGGACTGGTTGGTGATCTTAGTCTACATCATGATCAGGCAGTGGTGTATTGCGACAGTTTGAGTGCAATATGCTTGGCCAAGGATCAAGTCCACCATGAGAGGACTAAGCACATCGATGTGAGGTATCATTTCTTGAGGACAGAGAAGAGGATTAAGGTGAAGAAGGTTGGCACCGCAGATAATCCTGCTGATATGTTCACGAAGCCGGTTCCACATGGCAAGTTCCAACACTGCTTGGACTTGCTGAATGTCTTGAGTGGGTGACTCCGCCCTACGGGGCATTGATGGCGGGAGAGAGAGAGAAGGAGCAGAGTACATCAGAGATTTCATAGGAAGAGGATTCAAGTCAAGGTGGAGATTTGTTGATATGACTTGAATCGGACTATCAGCCGCTATGACTGGTAATCGGGGGTCTCGCTGTTATTTGGGTTCGGGTTCTGGGCCTGGTCTGTAACCGTTTCCTTTGCTAGATTGGATTAGGTTTAGACCCACATGGAGAAGTACTATAAATACTTCTCATACTCCTCTGTAATCTGTAATCTCCTTGATATAGTGAAATCGGCTCTCTCTCGCCCGTGGACGTAGCTAGCACACATCGTGTTAGTGAACCACGTAAATCGTGTGTCGTGTTTTCGATTCTCGCTTTCGTATTCTTGCTTTGTCGATTCCGGCGATTTCCCGATCCGTAGCAGCGCGTTTATAACAGAAGGAGTCCTAGGGTTTGAGAGTAGAGAGGAATCGCCGCTCTTCACCCTTCCCTTGCTCGCCGCAGTTTCCTTCTCCCTGTCACCGAGAAATCCAAGCAGCGGCTCGACTCCGCCTCCGCCTTGCGTTGGCGGTCAATTTCGACTTCAAGCATCATCTTCCAGTCCATTGGCGATTCTTCCACCAGTAGCTCAGCTCTTGATTTCGTCTCCGGTGATGATTCGTCCACCAGCTTCGCCCTCCCTTTTGTTTCTCCTCCGTCGATCGCCACAGCAAACAGCCTCAACCCCGGCGATGAACGACTCACCCGAAAGCTAGGAGGCAATCCCGATCCCAGTTCCGTCTTCGCTTTTCCTTCTTTTTCCAGCACGTCGCCTGCCGCGCCGGTCTTTCGCTCTGCCATAGTCGCCGCGACTGGAACTGCCGACGATCGTGGTGCCTATTCTCCCTTCCCAATCGGCGACCATATTACCACGCTGGATCCTCGAACAAGGCGAGAACTGAAGATTTCGCCGCCCTCCTTCTCTTCCTCGTCCGGCAGCGCACACCTCGCCCTACAGCAAGGCGATCATCGCTCTTCTAGACTCAGATTCGGCGGCGGTTCTTCCACCATCTCCCAGTCTGCGGTTGCCACGAACGGATTCCCGTGCGACGCTGCTGCAAAGAGAATTGTAGGGCCCGCCCTCAATTTCTTCTCCTGCACATCGTCCATCGTCTCGACGGATGGAATGGCCGTAGGTCTAGGCATCGCAGAAGCTGGGACAACAACGTCGGTCGTGCGTCGAGTTTGTCCTTCGGTGATCGGTGCGACATCCCAGGTTGGTGTATCCAGCGGTGGTGATGAAGACACGACGGCTGTTGGACGAGATCTCTGGGCTCCCCCCCCCCCCCCCCCGAATGCTGTGATTTTGGCACGGTGACGGTTATGGTGGTTGTAGCCTTGATCTCCTTCACCACCAGCCGCTCTTCCTCGGCGTCATCCCCAACAAGCTGCAGGTCCTGCTCCTGCTGCTCGACGATGGTGCCGATGCTTGGGTTCGCAACGGCAGGATTCACAAGCTCTCCTCCTTCATCGTCGACCTCATCACAGTCTAGCTCCTCAGTTTCGTCGGCGTACACGGCGTTCTCGCCTTTTTTGTGTGTGGCAGTGCTTCGAGACTCCAACTGTCTATTATCCGCTTCGTTCGCTCCCACCGCAAAGCATCCTCATTTTTCCTCTCACAGTGCAGAGCTTCAGGGCTCCAATAATTGATGATCCCTTGCAGTCGCTTCTGCAGCTCGGCCCATGTCGGCTGGGGTCGCTGCTCGCCAGCCTTCACGTCACGCTCGGTTAGCGACGTAGGTCGTGCTTCGTCGGGCGCCTCGGGATTGGAAGAATTAGGGATTAGAAAGATAGAATTAGGGATTGAGAAGAGAATTGGGGAAAAACAAAGAAAGAATGGTCGGCGGCCAGGTTTGGGAGAGAAGAGAGTTTGAGAGATTAGGGTTTAGGAGATTCTTTGATAATTCTTTCATAACTGATTACTAATGAATCATAAAGTACATATTTATAGGAAATATTGGGAAACCCTACTAATAAACCCAATTCTAATAAAAGACTACTGACCTTATTGATGATTTCCCTAATAATAATTCTAATAATGAATAGAGAAACCCTACAGAAATCGGTTTCTAACACGTTTTCACAAATTGGGACGCCGCGATTCCATTGAATTCGTACCTAGTCCTGATGCACCTCAAGAACTACACCAACAACCCAGCCACCGAGGCCTTCCTCTTCTGCACCTACCTTGTACGATACTGGCACGCAATGACCTACCCTCAGCGATGGGTGTCACTCTGCCCCGATGATCGACCACCGATTGATTCGGACTAGCATATTATGCTTGAAGGAGTCATTTGCGGCATAGGCAATGGTGTGTTTCTCGTCGATAATCAACGTGGGTTGAATCCTGATTACCGTCTGTGGAACGTAGCAACTCGAGAGATCAGGCTTCATCCCAAGCCTCCGTTCGTGCCTGGTGCCACCCATTTCCAACCACCACTCGGCAATTTGCTGCAGTGCTTAGACTATTGTGGGGTTGGGCTCGATTTAGTTGATGGTGGTGATGTCATGGTCGTTCTGATTCGTAGCTATGCTTATGTCGATGATCGTTGCAGCAACAACTGCGTTTCCCCAATGTTCTCCTCGCAGGTTCTCTTGTATACATTACGTAGTAACTGTTGGAGGGAGCTAACAGAAGGTTGCCCGTATCTGGAAGAGCGAAGATTTGATCCCCACTAAGTTACTTGCCATACTTCAATGGGTTCTACTGGCTCTACCACAACCATGTAGAACCTGGTCATGTGGTGCCTTTTGATATGGGGAACAATCTTCTGCATAAGATAGATTGCCCTTTTTATCGTATTGGAGAAAACAGCAAGCTCGGCATATCTGGTGATTCAGTGGCTTTATTTAAGGGAGAGTTGCACTACTACAGTGTTGATGTATGGTTGTTGAGCGGTAGCAATGGGCAGTGGAGTTGGATCAAGCATTCGAGGCTCGACCCTTTCCCCAAAAGGCTTTATGTGGATGTATTCTGGAAGCGTGATCAACTAATCGCTCAACCTCTATTTGGGGATGATGATCAAGTTGTATTGTATGATGTTGGTAGCAGAAAATATAGAGTTTTGGTGTTGAATTATGGGAGAACAATCAGCTGGCATATTTACAAACATAGCTTGTTGTCGATGTTACCGAATTCTCGTTCAAATGTAGAGGATCGTCACGATGAGTGAGCTGCAGCTATCTTGTGAGCCAAGGATGACGCAGCAACATGTTGTTGTAGCCTCCGAGGACACCCCTTCTCTGCTTCTTCATTCTCACTTACTGTAAAACCGTCTTTGGTAGTTGTTTAGGAATGTTTTGGAAGTGCTTAGTTTTGTAGATGTTTCAGGAAATCCTGATTTGTAATGGTATTACTGATGGATATATATACACAGAGAACTCAACAGAAAGCTACTCCTACTCCGCACTAACAACTATTTCTATTCTCCACTAACGTGAACTAAGGAAACAGAACAACAGAATGTTCACAGTAACAATGTGGAGAGAAAGAAGTGAGAAGGTAGTTCGAGTATATCTCTCCCTTATCAGGTTGAAGTTTGTGAGCAGTTTCAGGACGAAGCCAAGGATAACATAAACAACCAAAGACACGATGGTTTTGAAGATCGGGCGATTTATCAAACAAGGTATGGAACGGAGAGTGATTTTGAAGAAGGGTATGAGTGTGATTGATGAGATAATATGCAGTATCAAGCGTAAGAGACCAATACTTGAGGGGAACATTCACTTGATGTAACATAGCGAGACCATTATTAACAATGTGACGATGTTTCCGCTCCCACAACCATTTACCTCGGGTGTATAGGGACAAGAAGAATGGTGAACAATACCATTTGCCGCAAGATAAGAGGATAAGGCCTGATATTCACCGTCCCAATCATATTGAAATGTTTTGATGGGAAGGCCAAAGAATTTCTCAACAAGTTGGCGAAATTGGATGAAGACATTAAGGAGTTGGGATTTATAACGCACAAAATACACCCAGCTGAACTTACTATAATGATCGTAGAATAAGACATAATATGATTGATGATCATAAGAAAGAATAGGAGCAAGGCCCCAAAGATCACTACAAATAAGTTCTAAAGGCGCAGAGGCGCGATATTGTGAAGAAGAAGAAGGTAATTTGTGAATCTTACTACCAGAACAGCCATGACACAAAGAATCATGACTATCATGGTATTTTATTGAATGAGTAGACAAAAGGTGTTTAACGGCCCGTAGATTTGCATGACCCAACCGTTGATGCCAAAGATCAAGAGAGGCAGTGAAGACTTGAGGAAGAGTGCGACTTTGGATATGGAGAGGGAGTGAGTAGAGGCCATCATGAGCAGAACCACGGTAGAGCTCATCCTTCGTGCGGCGATCCTTGATCACAAAATATGTATAAAAAAATTCGATGGAAATGAGATTAGAACGAGTCAAAGAACTCACAGAGAGAAGATTTTGAGGAGCATGTTGGACACGAAGCATATTATCAAGAGAATAGGAATGACTGGAAAGAAGAGCGTGAGAGGAACCAGAATGAGAGATGGGTAGGCATTTGCCAAAGGTGACTTGATCAGGACCAGTGTATTCAGAATGATGAATCAGATTACCCAAATCAGAGGTAAGATGGTGGTTTGTGTCGGAATCAAGGAGCCACTGTTGCGAGGACTGGGCTGGGTGGGAGGATTGGGCGAGATGAGAGGCTGGTCCAGAGTGATAAGTGGACTGGGCTGGGATAAATGGGCTTGGGCAGTGTGGGCGAATATGGCCCTTCCCCCCACAATTGTGACACTCCATCAGAGATGGGCTGGAAGGCCCAGCCCCTATTAGACCATAGGAACCGGGCCTATAACCACCATAATTGGGCCAAACACCTGCAGCAACAGAGTTAGAAAAACGGGCCGGTGGGGAAAACCCTCGACCACCAAATAAGGCTCCTCTACCGCGAGAGAAGCGGCCACCGCTGCGCCCCCCACGAGCAGAATAAAAATTCTGCGGAGGCGATGCATCTACAGACGCTGATCGGAACCGCTGCAGCTGCACCTCTTCGCTGAGTAGAAGACTACTCAGATTCTCGAAGGAGATTGGCTCCAAACGTGCTTCTAGATTGCGGGTAAAGAGGCGGTAATCCTCGTCGAGACCGTCGAGGAGCGCAACAACCAGCTCCTGTTCAGTGACGGTGGCGCAAAGGATGAGCATCTTGTCGTAGATGGCCTTGGCTCGATGAATATATTCGTGGATCGTCTAATTGCCGCGATAGAGACGAAGCAAAGACTTGAGGAACTGGCCGATAATGACGGGGGAGCCAGAGGCGTAGACCGTGGCGAGTGCATCCCAGGCGGCAAGAGCAGTGGTCTTGTTGACCACCGTCGGCATGACAGCCTCAGTCAGGGAGAGATTGATCCAGACCAGGACAAGCTGATCATTCTCATACCAGCGCGCATAGGTTGGATTAGGTTGATCATCGATAGTCGTTGGAGGAGGAATGGTGTCGTCGATATGATTGACGAGACGGTAACACCGGAGCAGAGGATAGATTTAGGCACGCCATAGCAGATAATTGGTAGGGGTCAATTTGACCGTGAGCTGGGGATTGGAAGGTAACAGCAGACGTGGTGGAGAGGAGGATTGAGTGGAAGGCGAAGAAGAATCAGAGGTAGTGGAGGAGGTATGTAACTCGTTTGAGTTTCTTATGGCTCTGGTACCAAGTAGATGTTTCAGGAAAACCTGATTTATAATGGTATTATTGATGGATATATATACACAGAGAACTCAACAGAAAGCTATTCCTACTCCTGATAGACTTTTAATTATTTGAGGTTTATGTCGGTTTGAATTATTTAGTTTGGGATTATTTTGGGTATTGGGAATATTGTGGGGGATTAATAAGTTGGGGTAGTTAGTAGGTAATTGTGTTTTGGGTATTTAGACTATTGTCTACGTAGGAAAACACAAGCAAGAATTAAACCTAAAACTATCTCTCTCTCTCCACTCTTTCCCTCTGGCCGCCGAGCCTTCTCTTTTCCCTCTCAAGGCTGCCGCCCGGCAGCAGCTTTCTTCCCTCCTCTCCTCGCCAAAATTCCCCCAAATCACTCTCTCTTAATCTCCCCTAATCCCGGATCAATCCCTAGTTGATCCCCGATCCCCAATTGTTCGATAGAGCTCAACCCGGAGCTCTATCATTTGGTATCAGAGCCCGGTTCTTGGGTTCGATCACAAACAGAGAACGAAGGGTGCAATGGTGTCCACCAAATCGATGCAAGCGGCGGAGAAGGCTGCCAAGGCGGCGGTGCAGGAGCAGGCCTCGACTGCGGCCTCGACCGGGCTGCCGGGAGCTGGCGGCGGAAACCAGGGGGCCTCCGATCCGCGGGACGGAGAGCTGGTGGACGAGACTGGAAAGTTGGAGCTGATCCAAACCACCTTGGATCGCCTGGTAGCCGAGTTCGAGAAGGAGCGCAAGGAATGGCGGGCTCTCCGGCAGGAGCAAGGCGAACAGCGGCGGGGACAGGAGGAGTCCCGGCGAGTTTGGAAGCGGTTTGATGAGGTGCAGAGGGTCGTGGAGGCACTGGCCGCCGCGCAGGCCACTGGGCCGAGGGATAGCAGCGGCGGCGGCGAGGGGAGCGGGCTGGGAGCTTCGCCGGCGGACGGGGGCGCGGAGGTGAGCGCCGCCGCGGCGGCGGTTGCCGCGCAGCATGGGGCGATGGTGGTGGCGGAGGCGCCGGCCGCAACGGCGGCTGCCGCGGCCGTTGAGGCGGTGGAAGTGGTACCCGGCGCCGGGGAGCGTGTGGGCCAGGGTCAGCCAGGGCGCAGCGGTGGGCCTGGGCTTTTACCGACACCAACGGCCCAGGAATTGGCGGCCCGCAAGGGCAAGACCAAGATGCCAGGGTACGACAACGGGCCCCCGCCGACTGGGCAGGGTCCACCTAGGCCAATGGGTCGGAGTGACACAGTGGGCCCGTATCACGAGCCCAGAGGACTGGGGTGGCTGACCATGGATCACGAGCGGATCGAGGAGGAGCTCAGTCTGGTGGGCCAGAACGCACCATGGGCCGACCCGGCGAGTGGCAGTGACTATTTGGGCCCGGACATGACAGGGGCCCAAGCCGCGCTTGTTGGGCCGGGCCAGGAGGGCCGGTTTGGGCCGGGTGGACCTAGGCTGGGTCGAGGAGGCGGCTCGGCTGGTCGAACCGACCTGGGGCTGACCGGTCCGGGTCGAGGTGGGTCGGGTCGGGGCGGACCCGTACCGGGTCGAACCGAAAGTGGACCGAACCGGTTCGAATCGGGGCTGTTAGATCGGCCAGTATGGACCCGAACATGTGGCGCGGGTCGTATGGTGCAGGGAATTGGGCAGGTCCGATGGGGCGAGAGTCCGCAGGCAGTTTTGGGCGAGGAAGGGGAACTCCGTTCTACCCGGACCAGCTAGGGGGTGCGCCCGGTTACGACAGGTATGGTTCGTATCACCCTGCTTATGATGGAACTGATGGGATGGTCTTTCGAGCCAAACCCCCGACCATTGAGTTTCCAAAATTCAATGGTCAGGAGGATGCAGGGTTGTGGTTGTATGCAGCAGAGAGGTGGTTCAGAAACCACCCCATTCCGGAGGAGAGGAAGGCGCATCTGGCGTCCTTCTACTTAGAGGGAGAAGCGCTGCAGTGGTGGGAGTGGATGGAGAGGTCCTATGGGGCGGTGGGAACCTTGATCACCTGGTCGTTGTTCCAGGAGGAGCTGCGTTACCAGTTCGGTAAATCGGAGGGGTGGGCTCCAGAGCAGTTGGCCAAGCTGAAACAGACCGGCTCCGTTGCGGATTACCGTGCAGAGTTCTTCAAGCTGGGCAATCAATGCCATGGGGTTCCGGAGGAGACACTGGTGGGGCTGTGCATGGCAGGCCTGAAGCCGGAGATTGCTGCTGCAGTCCGGATCTTTGAGCCGGATTCGGTGAAAACTGCTTTTCGTCTTGCAGGGTACAAAGAAGAGGAGCTGGCAAGTTGGAGGAGCACCATGCGCCGCAACCCGCGGGCCGGGGGCGCAGGGAGCAGTAGCGGACTCAGCGGCGGAGGAGGAGGAGCGGCTGGGGCCTCGGCTGGAGTTGGAGGATCTTTGGCAGCGCCGGCACCCGGAGCTGCCGCGAAGGGAGGGCCGCGACCCCCGCCAAAGGGGTTCGTGCGACTATCCCCAGCAGAGATCGAGCAAAAGAGGCGGGAGGGGAAGTGTTTCAATTGCGACGAGAGGTTCACGATTGGCCACAAGTGTGCACGTCCGGATTTAATGATGCTGGTAGGGAGGTGGGAAGACGAGGCAGAGGATGAGGCAAGGGAAGGGGAAGACGCAGGAGAAGGCTACCAACCTTGAGGACAATGTTGTTTTGAAGAGGAAGGGAATGATAGACTTTTAATTATTTGAGGTTTATGTCGGTTTGAATTATTTAGTTTGGGATTATTTTGGGTATTGGGAATATTGTGGGGGATTAATAAGTTGGGGTAGTTAGTAGGTAATTGTGTTTTGGGTATTTAGACTATTGTCTACGTAGGAAAGGGCAAGCAAGAATTAAACCTAAAACTATCTCTCTTTCTCCTCTCTTTCCCTCTGGCCGCCGAGCCTTCTCTTTTCCCTCTCAAGGCTGCCGCCCGGCAGCAGCTTTCTTCCCTCCTCTCCTCGCCAAAATTCCCCCAAATCACTCTCTCTCAATCTCCCCTAATCCCGGATCAATCCCTAGTTGATCCCCGATCCCCAATTGTTCGATAGAGCTCAACCCGAAGCTCTATCAACTCCCCACTAACAGCTATTCCTATTTTCCACTAACGTGAACTAAGGAAACAGAACAACAGATTGTTAACAGGAACAATGTGGGGAGAAAGAAGTGGGAAGGTAGTTCGAGTATATCTCTACCTTATCAGGTTTTACTTTCTTGTAATAGAAAAGTTTACGAAGGAGACTGTAGGAGAAGCTTTGAACATCGGAGCTTTGTCGTCGATGAATCCGGTACCCTGATTTTTGGACAGGATCTAAGAAATACTTCATCTGATTTACTTATAAAATGGTATGTTAGCTGCAATGCTCTTTGTAATGGGTTGTCAATTCGGTTAACCAAACTGAACTGCCACTTACAAAATGGTATGTTAGCTGCAATGCTCTTTGTTAGCTGCAATGCTCTTTGTAAGTGTGTCAATTCATGGCTCTGGAACAATTACCATCTCGCCCTGGAGAATCCGAGTTCTGCTCGATAGGGGTAACAGAGCTGCCACACTTTGACTTACCGACAACCACAGAAAGGGGGAAGAAAGTAGAATTACAGTGACGCCCGGGAAGTGGTAAGGAAAGAGAACAAGTTGTATATTTTGAAAGTTCAGTTCATGGGTATCCAGACCTTTTTTTTTTTTTTTTTGGTACAAGGGTATCCAAACCTTCAAAGCAATATATTTAAACAATCTATCTAGCTCAAAACCACCTGTATATTTTGAAAACTCACGATCAAAACGAAGTAACAAGCCTTACATTAATGTGCTGGATATCAAATACTACTGTATTACGAATCATCACACTCCTTGCTCTCCATCTGGCAGCACTTTTTCTTGGATTTCTTGCTTCGATCATCCTTAGATTTCTTCTTTTTGCCTTTCATTTCTTCTGGGAACTTTTTTCTCTTTGCGAGCTTCAAAGCTTCTTGCTCAACTTCTCCAGGGATCTCATCCGCGTTCTGTGCATCAGGAGCTACTACTTCTGCTTGCGAAACACGTATTAAGAAGAGTATTCTTGATTAGTTGACTCACCTAGCTAGTGAATTAGTTAGTTGCATGTAGGGCTGCAAATGAGCCGAGTCGAACCAAGGTTTACCCCAGCTTGAGCTTGGCTCGTTAATTAACGAGTTGAACTCGAGTTCGAGCCATTTATTAACGAGTTGAACTCGAGTTCGAGCCATTTATTAACGAGTTGAGTCGAATAGAGTTCAAGCTAAGCTTGTTAAGTAAAATCTTGAGTTGTATTTGATATTTCACTTTGAATGTCATGATTTTTTTTTTTTTATCCAAGATAAGCCTCAGGGCATGGCCGGACAACAAGATACAAAATACATAATAATAAAGAACGGTAATCCGTATGCAACCGAACTCCCGATAAAAGAGCCTGTTATGCCACAAGTGGACAGCTCTATGAAAGCTCCAAGGAGCGAAAAGACACGAAACTGACACGGGGACAGGAAGAGAGAAAAAACTTCCCTGTAAATGGCTCCGGCTCCGGGAAGGGAAGACTTCCTCGATGGATCCATGATGATAAGTTGAGAATCCACACAACATGTGACAATCAATACATTATTAGTAAGATACCATCTCGTAGCATTGCTAAGGACAAGTAATTTTGATATATAAACATTGATAATATCATAATAGGATTTAACAAAAACAATTGAAAGAGTTCCATCACCTTAGAAGTCGATGGAGTCTGTGGACAGTCTTGAGAATTCTTTGGTATGACTAAATCACCATGGAAGAGGTAAACTCGAGACTAGCTTTGTGTCACAACTCACAAGTTGAAGATGCGCTCGACCAAAATAATTGAACAGAAAAAATAATGAAAGAAAATAAAAATAAAATACTAACGTGAAACAGAAAGTAAAATAAAATAAAAGAAGAAAGGCCGAGCCTACAAGAAAGCAGGAAGTTAAAATGGTAATCTGAACAGCGGAAGAAAAAAAAAACTAAACTAAAAATGATAACAATCACCGGAAGTAAAATAAAATTTAAAACAAAGAAAAATGAAAACCGGAATTTAAATCAAATCTAATCAAATAATAAAGACCAAAACAAAAAGGGGAAGTGGAAAGCCTAACCCCTCCAGCAAAGAAAGCATCTAATTAATCAATAGTCAAAAGAGAAATTAAAACAAAACAAAAAAGAAAAACCGTCAAGTTAATTAAAGGGAATAGGAAGAAGGAAATAAAGTAATAAAAATCAAGATAATTGAAGGCTTAATTAACGGAATTCAAAAATACCAGCGCAATCAAGGCTAGCTCCACCACCGGCGGTCACCACCCCTCGTCGACGGCATAGGGCGTAAAGTACCGACTGCAAAACTGATTGCTATCAACAGCAGTTACCGTTTCGTCAGAGCTTTGATGGGGAACAGAAATCAATATTGATGGCCGGAACCACGCCAGCAGCTAGCCGTGGATCCAAGAAACCAAGCGATCCAACGATGCCACCATATTCCAGCCTTTAACAGAGGATCTTATTTAACAGAAAACCATTAGGTTAGATGATGTTTAAACTTGGCCAGGGAGACCATGTTAATCAAGACGACAGGCGTCTTATTAAGAAAACAGAGTAAAAGAGCTCTGTATTGGATACACTGACAAAATCCAGCCATCAATGGTGCCCTGTAAGTTGCCGAAGTCTTCCTCCGACGAAGTCGATCAGGGGCACCGATGGTTTGCTCGTAGGGTATTTGAGATGGTTGAAATCACGAGAGATGAAGGCCTCATCCTGCCTGAGCACATGGCCCGGCTTCGGAGCAGACGAGATTTAGCCGATCGGAATTTGGGGTCGGCGTCGATCGTCTCCTTAATTGACAATGCTGAAATCATGAGCGCCTGATCTCACGGCAATCCACGGGAAAGATGTCTCCATTTTGGTCAATTAATCCCCACATCAAGCTGAGAAGGAATTGTCGTTGGACAAGTTGAGAGCGAGGCTACGAATGTGAAACTGATAATGATCTTTCTCTTTTCATAGTACTAGATTTGGGCCCCGGTGTGGAAGTAGTTAATATGGAAGGAAATTTGTCTTTGAATGTCATGATTGATGTCATGATGATGATGATAATAATGATAATAATAATAATAATAATAATAATAATAGTCAAATGCTCAATATTAACTAATCTCATATTATTCTTTGTTGTTATCATATTATGTAGTTAATAAAATTTAATTAGTCCAAATCCTGTTATTTAACAGTATCGAAGCAATTTCTGATATAAATTCTCTTTTCAAAATGAAAATTAATATATATTGCTCACATACTCAGTGTGTTAAACTTCATATATGGTGAGATATATAATTTAACAATAATATGAATTAAACTCATAAGATATAGATCGATTCGCCCATAAGTCGGTAATCAAGTTGGCTCTCTAGCCACAATGTGAGACATCTCATGATCTATAAACAAGTCAGCTCACGAGTTTACCTCGACAAGCCACCGAATCAAGTTAGCTCGCGAGCTTCACGAGCTGAACAAGGCTTAGCTCGGCTAGTTAATAAACGAGTCGAGTCTCGAATGAGCTTTTCTCGAATGAGCTTCACGAGCTGAACAAGGCTTAGCTCGTGCTCGGCTAGTTAATAAACGAGTCGAGTCTGGAATGAGCTTTTCACGAGCAACTCGGCTCATTTGCAGCCCTAGTTGCATGGATACTTTGAGACACGACAAAAGTAACACTCAAACTTCTCCATGATCAAGTTCTATCTATGCTCGCTTCACAATCTTCTCCTGTCCTAGATGATGATGCAAATACTAATGCTAATTCTCCCAGCAGACACTCTCAAACTAAAGAACGAGCACTAACCTTTGTCAGAAAAATTGGAATCAAAGACGACACATGTGAGATGCTGCTTCAGGAAAGTCTGCGTCATGCAAGAATTATTGTAGACAAATTAGCCAGGTGCCAAAAGATTTGTGAAAGCAATAGAAATTGTGCAGTAATTAGAACTAAATGGAAATAATAAGAAAAAGGAGGGGCCCAAGGGGGGTTGTGAGCGAGGGGGCTGTGGGACGGGAAACTTACAGCTGAAAGAAGTTCTCTTGTTTTCACATCCCATAAACGCAAGTAGCTGTCAAGACCTAAAAAGGGCAAAAGCAGTTAAGTAATTGATACTCGAGAACACAGAACGATGGGAGAACCAACGCAGAAAAAAACTTGATCGCTGTACTGAATCACTAGTCTCAGTTACTAATATGCCACAAGCATTATCACTCACCGCATGATGCTATCACCGGATGATCTGGATGTCGGGCTATGGATCTTATGCTTCCAGAACACTTCCCCAGAAAGCAACCTAGTAATTTTCCTGTCGAAAAAAATTACAGGAAAGGAACCGTTAAACAAAAAATAGCAACAGAGGCAATCGAAGTAATGCTTTTAAACACCTAAAGTATCACCAGAGATAAATCAAATATGACGGCACACGCATTAAAGTACCTGTGCGGGTGTCGATAGACGCAAGATCACCAGAGCCATTCCCCACATAAATAGTATAACCATCATGATCTTCAGCAACTGATTTAATAGGGGTCTCCCGAAAATCAAAAGAGATCACAGGTCGGCGTTGAGCAGAAGTATCATAGACACGGACCTATTTAGTAAACAATATATTAGACGACAGTAAAGTTAACACAATTTCAGTTCAGTATGGACATATCGTAACACAGTAAAACCTTATATTGCCTGTACATCATGATCTAGAAGAGCATCTAATCTGAATCTTATCAATTGTTCCAGAAAAAAGTAATAGCTGTAATGAAAATTCACCTGGTGGCTGTTTGTGCCAGCCACAAACTTCCGGTGATCATCCCCAGTCAGGAATGTTGCAGAGGTAAACCATGTTGGGGTAAAGATGTCAAGGCTGTTTTTGGGAGGCTGTAAAGAGGTAGGAATTGAATTGCTTTAGGCAAACACACTTGAAATGAGTGAATAAACACAGGCCTTTCTATATAACCTGTAATTAGAGAAAGAAATGCATACAACTCACAGGTTTTGCCGCCCAAATCTTAGTAGAGCTCTCAAGATCCCACAAATTAACTTCAACGCCTTTCCTGAATTGAAGGAAAACTTAGTTTCTTCAAGATTTGAGAAATACAAGCCAAAAGCAGATAGTCAGACAGCGAATGCACTTACCCTCCAAATAAAGCATGTTTTTCACTTCCATGGACTTTAGCACATAAGACATTACCAGCAGCACAAACTTTCCACGAATTAGAGGCACCATTGTTGGTGCTCTCTGTAGGTGCAATGTCGACTGACCTCAAACTTGCATTGCCTTTGGTTGTACATGTAAGCAAAGAGCATGATCTACAAACCAACAGTGAGCATATTACCAAGATAGTTGCTTGTGACTGTACACATGATGAACACTGGAATGACACTATTTATCACTAAGCGCACATACCCCACCAATCTGCGCTTCTTGAATATATGTAAAACAGCAATATCATCATCTTCAGGGTGTCCATCACCGTCACCAAAATCAGATATGGACACAAAAATGTCACCACTAAGAGGATTGGAAATTTCAATCTGTTACATATGAAGCCCGGGTAAGTAGAAACTAGGGAAAATCCTTTTCACGATACCATATCCTCAAAGCCAGACAGCAGAAATGAAGTAACTCACAGTGCCATTTTTCCTCGCAACAGCTAGTATCTGCAGAGAATGGAAAACTAAACAGTCAAAGGTGTAAGAGATGATAAGTGCAACAGAGAAGCAAGCACAACAATCCCCAGAACCAGCAAAGCTACTAAAAATCAAAACTTGAAAACCCAAGAAGAAGCTACAGTTTTTACAACATACTGGGTCGTTTGCACGATCATCAACAGAGGCAGCAAGCACGCACTTTGAGGAATCGGCATCCCCCCATCTTTCCACCACCTGAGGAATTCCTCCGCTGTTGCCTCGAGACTCTGTGACTGAGATAAGCAAACGGACAAAAAAAAAAGCAATCAGTATCCAGTTTTATAAATTCAATCCGTGGCATTAGCAGCAGGGCAGCCATTATCACAACCTTTGATGAGACCTAGAGCGTCGAAGGTTAGGGCTCGAAGCGGAGGGCAGCCGGGACACTCCACAGTGGTGGTTCGTGGCATCTTGCTTAACCCTAGGCTCTGATAAGCTGAATTCACGTAGCGATGTTCTTAAATGTATTGTTTCTGAACCAAAAGAGTTCACGTATGGTGTAGTGGCAAGTTGGGTATAAGGGTTTTCAAGGTGAATAGACAAAGCCCATAGCCAAAACCAAAACCAAAACGATCATTGCCAGAGGAAGTGTAGTGGGCTATAGGAGTCCGGGGAAGGAGGTACTTGGAGAGGAGAAAAGACGGGTCGTAATGGCGGCAGGTCAAAGTGACGGGAAGAGCAGCAAGAGATGGGAATGAAAGAGTTGAAGCGGCAGCTAGTGCCCGGCAGCCGGCAGGCAGTGAAGGAAGGAAGAGCAAGGGTTTATAATACACTACTTAAAATTGCTATAAAATTTTAGTGGGTTCTAATGGCTATAAAAATTTGGGTATGCCTACTATAACATCATGTCACCGTGACATGGAATTTTCGGTCGACCTAATCCTGAAGGCGGTCGACCGAATTGACTAATTTGGGCAGCACGAGAAAGCATTGCGGTCGACCTCAACGACCACCTGGTCGACCGCACTTAGTTTAAGTTGTTATTTTTGGTCGACCAGAATAAAACCTCGGTCGGCCATTTCGTTGGCGTTAGAAACAACATGGTCGACCGTAAAGGTATATAGGTCGACCACTTGATGGCAGTCATTAACAAAAGGGTCGACCAGATAAGGAAAGAGGTCGATCAGATAGAAGATAAGTATTCTATCAATGTGTCCAATCATTTGACGTAAAATGAAGATCAAGTGTTGGTTTCGAGGTCGACCTAATCCGGTACGAGGTCGACCGAATACAAGAAAGTCAACCTATGCCCCGTGTCTTTTTTGCTTATGTATGTCGATTTGTGTGGTTCTTTTGCTCGTATAAATTATGTTTCAAACCATCATAAATAGTAATAAATAATGATAACAAGGACTCATCAATTCATTGCATAACAACTAAACAAACTAACAAGAAATACAATAAAACAGAAATCATAATTGTTCACACAAAAAAAAAAACTAAAACAACAAAATAACAATCAACAATCGTTTTGACCACTTAACAATAAAAACACACAATCTAAAATCTTCGAGTTCCTACTCATGTCCCCTTCTCTCCTTCATCCACATTTTCTTCGTATTTATAGAGATTTATGACGTGAATGGGTCGACCGACTCGACCCAATTCGTTTTCTTGTCCAATTGTGGAACCTTTCTGCTGTTGGAATCCGTATCCAATACGGATACGGTGTGCATGTGGTTGACCTCTTACTAATGAGGTCGACCTGATAGGTGCACAAGGGTCGGCCTATGAGGTATTTGGGTCGACCTTTCATTCTGTTATACCACCAAAGAGGTCGACCGCTTCTCTGAACCTCACATAACTGAATTTGTCAATTCGGTCGACCGCCTTGAGAATTAGGTCGACCGAAAAGTCCATGTCACAGTGGCATGCATGTCACCGTAGCAAAATCCTAAAAATTTTGGTAGCTGTTTTATAATACACTGTTTAAAACTTAGTAAAACTTAGTAAATACTCCATATACACATACACGTATATATACCCGTACATACTTTATTCGTTTAAAACTTCTGTGTTCATATTATTGTCAAGTCGTTTCATTTTTTCTCGTTCATTTTATGGCTCACGTACTAAACATGTATTAAACCCGTATAACACGTTTATTATCTGTATTTTACGAATTAAATTGTTAACTTTACCATTATTTATATATTTTTTTTAAATGATTAATTTTATATATTTATGACTATTAACGTACTATTAAACGCAACTTTAGTTTAGAGACGAAGTATAATACCCATACGTACTTTTCACGTAACTTTCCCTACCGTATTTTACTAACTATAACTTTCGTTAACCAAAAGCAATTCCAAGTCCAAATTATGTTCTAACAAATAGTTTAAACTATCTAAAAAAAACTCGTATAAAAATATTCATTATATTCATATTAGTAATTAGGATGACACTAAGTAATATACCATTTAAGCACGAGAAGGAGAATGGCGAAGGACGAAGAAATAAATTTTCTTAATTAGGATTGGTTAGTTTCAATTCAATTTATATTGTTTTCTTAAACTTTTTTTTTATGGAGTTTTCTTAAACTTTTTGTTGTGCTTAAACCAATAAATCAATGAACCAACCAAATTAAGTCAGTTCATTTACGATCGTAAAAAATTGTTTGGTTCATTTTTCACCGTTTAAACAAACAGATCGATCTGCTATTGTACTGGTTGGCAATTCTAACGGTCCAAATGGCTGGTCGGTCATATCGGTTCTTGTAACAAGGGAACTAATCGTTGGGTTAAACCCCTAAGATTTAAAAGGAGGCAATACGACATGTACGTTGTAAAAGGAGATTTTAAAAGGATCCTTATTGGAGAGCATAGGGCTAAGTTCAGGTCCTTAAGCCTCATTCCTTAAGGAAGATCTTAAAACATTTCTATTGGCTGGTTGGGTATTAAGTAGTTAATAAGAAGTTATAAGTTAATTAGTTAATAAGAATATTTAGGAAATAATAAGTAATATAATAAATAATTAAATATATAATTAACCATATTAACCGGCCTCCTCCACATCTATTTCTCTTATCCGAGCCGAACGGATACTCTCCTCAGATTCCGGCGCTGCCTTCCCGTCGTTATCCCCCTTGCCGTCGCGTTACCTCACCAATCAGCTACTTCTCCCGGCTTCTGGCGCTGCTTACGTCCTTTTCCCTCTCCCGTCGTCGGCCTGTTATCAATGGGTTGCCCTGGAGCCATTGAAGGCTTGAGCTTCAGAGGCATCGCAGAGAGGGAGAAAGATGATGGAAAGGAAGAAGAGAAGCTGAGAAGGTGATTTGGGGAAAACTTTCTCAACGTCTTGACCGCGCTCTCTGCAATAGAGATTGGCTGGACTGCTTCGCTGACACCTATAATATGCACTTGTCACAGATGAAATCGGACCACCGACCTATTCTAGTTGTAGCTCCATATCCACTTCTATTCCTCGCAAGGAAAGACCGTTTCGATTTCTAGCTCCTTGGTTGTCCCATGAGAACTTTCAGCAGGCTCTGGTTGACTCTTAGTAACAAGGAGAGGCTTTCCATGTTGCGCTTCAGGTCTTACAAGAGACTCTTAAGGTGTGGAATGAGGAAGTATTTGGCAATATATATAAGAGAAAGAGATCCCTCACCAAACAGCTATCTCGGTGGGAACTCCTCAATGATGGGAACTCGACGCCTAGAACGTTGCAAGAAGAATCTCGAGTTCGGGAGGAGTTAGAACGTACTCTTTGGGAGAAGGAACTCCTTTGGGTACAAAAAGCTCGGGTTAACTTGATCAACTTTGGAGACAACAACACCAATAGCGTTATTCAGCTAACTGTGTTAGTGGTTAGCATATACTAACACGGTGGGATGAGGGGCCACGTAGGCGAGCCACCATCGGAGGTGTGAGGATCGCCGGCGCTGTTCTGTGAGGGGGGGAGGGATTTTTGGGCCAAGCCGAGCCACATTTGGGAAAAGTGGGCCAGAAATTAAAAAAAAAAAACTAAAACCCAAAATTTCATACCCGCCCAAAACCCAACCTCAACCCGCGGTCAGCCATTCTCCCCTCTCTCTCCAACTTTCGAACCCTCTCCCTCTCTTCTTCTTTTCTCCCGAAAACCCCCACCAACAGCGACGATCTTCGACGGCGACGACGGCTGCGAGGTCGGCGACTTGTTGCTGCATATACCGCCGACGTGGCCCTTGAAGCTATCCCGACCGACGAGGAAGAAGACGCCGCCGACGGAGAAGAAAGAAGAAGACGCCGCCGACGGAGAAGAAAGAAGAAGACGCCGCCGACTTCGCCGACGAAGAACTCCGCCGCCGTCGCCGCCGATAGTTGGAGGTAGAAGAAGACGCTGAGGTAGTTCTACTTCTCTCTTTATTGTTCATTTTGTTTGTGGATTTGAAAATTTATGTTAGGGTTTCGGTTCATGGATTTTTTGTGTGGAAATCTGGGTTTTGTTTATGGATTTGAAAATTTATGGTTCATGCAATTCGATTTAGGGTGTTTAGGGTTTTGATTCTAGATTTCCACATATTGTGTCCGTGGGATTCGAATTTGGGGTTTAGGGTTTCGTTTTGGGGGTTCATGGATTCGAATATGGGTGTTTAGGGTTTTGTTTGTTGATTACCAGATTCTGGGTCTGTGGGATTCGAATTTTGGGGCTCTGGTTTTTTTTTCTAGTTACCAGATTTATTGTTTCTCGAATTCCATTTTGGGGGTTTGTTGGATACGATTTTGGGGAATCTAGGTATTGTTTGTTGATTCCTTGATTAAATGTTACATGGATATTAGTTTGTTGAATCTGGGTATCATTTGTCGATTCCTTGGTTAAAGATTATATGGATATCAGTTTTGTCAATTGTGATACTTATTCTGGTCATTTTATATATTGTTTCATTATGGTTTCTCGAATTCCATTTTGGGGGTTTGTTGGATACGATTTTGTTCAATCTGGGTATCATTTGTCGATTCCTTGGTTAAAGATTATATGGATATCATTTTTGTCAATTGTGATACTTATTGTGGTCATTTTGTTTATTGTTTCAGTGAATGTGGAGACCGAAAAAGAAGCCCAACAATGAGGGAGAAGGATCATCAAAGCAGCCACCTGATGTACAACAACAAGAGGTTTCATTTCTTACTCCGTTTCTCGATTGGTTATGTTGGCTAAAAATTACTAGTCGGATGCATTTTAATATTTTCATTGACCGATAGTTTTCTTAATATCTAACTATTTTTCAGGAGCAACCCGTGAGGAAGAAACCCAAAACTGTTGCACCAAAATCTTCAGCGAAATCTCGTGAAGCAGCTGGATCATCACAGCAGCCGCCGGATGAACCACCACCAAAGGTTTGATTTCTCACTTCGTTTCTCGATTAGTTATATCGGCTAAAAAAATAAACTGATGTGTCTGATGTGTGGATATCAGTTCTGTTAATGTGGATACTTAACTGTTCATTTTAGTTATTTTTCTGGGTATTATGGATATTTTTTCATGGATATCAGTTATCTCCGTTTGGATACACTTTTGCTTTACTACGATAATAATTGTATGTATTTGCAAAAAAAATAATGTAATGTGTCTGATGTGTGGATATCAGTTCTGTTAAGTTGGATACTTAACTGTTCGTTTTAGTTTTTTTTCTGGGTATTATGTATATTTTTTACATGGATATCAGTTATCTCCGTTTGGATACACTTTTGCTTTACTACGATAATAATTGTATGTATTTGCAAAAAACGTAATGTAATGTGTCTGATGTGTGGATATCAGTTCTGTTAAGTTGGATACTT